CCCACCCCTTGCTGCACGTTCCCCTCATTTGCTGAGTCTGGCAGTCATGTCCTCAGCGGTGTTATCCAGAGAAAAGGTTGGACGGGGCTGGGCTGCGGACGAAGGCCAGCGCCATCCTTTCCAGTGGCCATCAGGCCCTTCCTCCGCTCAGTTGGGACAGGGCCATTCAAGCAGTTATCAGTCTACGTCATCGGTGACGCCCTAGGTGCCACCCTCCCCACCGGGGCGCGGGGCTTAGGGAATCCTCAGAAGCCGGTCTCAGGTCCGCTCCCACCCTGCCCTGGCCTGGCTCCGCTCGCGTCCAGCGTCCGGCGGACTGGCCTGGGCCACGAGGCTGAGAGCGACGCCATGCTACTTTAAAATAGGCTGGGAGTTTGGCTCGTTGAGTCTTTGGATCTCACAGTGTCTGGGAAAAACCTTAAGACGGAGAACGCAGGCCCTCAAATGGCTGACAGGTTACCTTCTCCCTCAAAGCCAGCAGCAAACCTCTACCATACGCAGAAGTGAGAGAGAGCAGAGGTAGCACTTACCATGGGGAAAAAAGTCCACAGTATAGGAAAAAGCCACCCCTTGATTGTCTGTAGAATTGGGTTAGAGGCTGGCAGGGCGTTAAGCAAACAGACTGTTAAGGCTCCAGGAGGCAGAACCTGCCCCACTGAGTGCCATGGCAGGAGCACCCCCAGGGCCCCTGCGCCTGGGTTAGTGCTTGCTGGGAGCTTTCTGCTCAGTCCCACTTGTAAAACCACCTTCGTTGGGCCGAGCTGACCCATTAGTGAGAGCAGCCCTCAGGGAGCTCCGGGAGGCGGCTCCTTGAGCCTGACCAGGGAGAGGCACAGCGGTTGCATCCTTCCCTGAGGAGCTGTGGCAGCAGGAGGGACATTCTGGGACACGCAGACGTGGGAAATCTACACAGGCTCACCCATCACCCCTGCTTTGCACCAGGTCCTTAAGTGTGTAAGGAAAACATCAAGACCGTGGACTGGCCGAGGCTTCTTGTAAAGACCCTATCATGTCTGAAGACCCACTTGTTTTGAAAACCTGGACTAGGATTCGAGTGGCAGCCCTCCTTCACCCCTGAGCAAGGGGACGATAGCCAGGTCCTCAGGGGTGAACGGGGAGTGACACACAGGCTGTGCTCGTTGGATCACTGCAAGCACGCACCTCTGTTTAAATCTATTTTAATTGTATTCTGACTCCATGCACACAGCAACGCAATAGATCACTCAGCGCAATATTGGCCGTACCTAACCTTCATTTAATACTTTAAATAAGGTACCTTTATCCCCATTCCAGATAAAGAAATTAAGGTTCAGAGGGGCTCTGTCACTAACCCAAGGTCACGAGAGGCTATGCGAGGGCTAAGAGCTGCCTGAAGCCTTCACGTCAGACCACCTTGTATAGTTCCCCAGGCTTCAAAAATCGTTTCTGTGCTTAAGACTCCCGTTCAGTTGTGTGGTGTTAACTGCTTTATGGGCAGAAACAGAACTCTGTCTTGACGATTGTTGATCGCTCAGGTTATAAGCCCTGGAGCTGCCCTCAGCCCCACCCTCCGCGTCCAAGGCAGCAGTCCCTGTCAGTTCTCCAGGCCGCCTACTAGCTGCAGGTCACACCAGCAAGGCAGGCCTGTTGGACGAACAGCTCAGGGACCACAGTGAGAGCCAGATGGCAGCAGGGAGACCCACTAGGTGACATCTAATGGCACAAGCCCAGGGAGTACGTACAAGTGACAGTTAAAAGGGCCAGGGCAGCAGAGGATGGTGGGGAGAGGGAGGAGGTGGGGTGAGCGGGGTAAGGGTGTTCTGCATGCAGAGTCCGGGGTGGGCCCGGGCCCGAGGTGCTCACAGACTCGAGGAGGGCAGCGCAGCCTCCCGCGGCCGAGCTGGAAGACTGGGACTCCTCCCAAGAACGCTCAGTCACCTTGGAGGTGAGGGCTGCTCCTCCCTGTGCTAGCAAGGCCTCTTTTTTTTTTTAAATATATAATCTTTATCTTTTTTCCATTACCATTTAGTCCCCTTACAGCCCCTCCCCCCAGCAACCACCACCCTGTTGTCCAGGTCCTGGAGTCCTTCTCCATTTTTGCTCAGTCCCTCCTCCCCTCCCCTCCCCCACCTCCACTAGCTGTCATCTGTTCTCCACCTATGAGTCTGTCCAGCCTTCTTTTTGAAATCCGGTTTCTGCTTCAACTACACAGGCCAGAACTTAGTCTCATGTGTTGTCCCCCCAGCAAGCCCAGGTGGCCAAGCGAGCACTCATCAGAAAGCTGATGGGGAACGCGGCTGCGGGCAAGGCAGGGGAGCTGGCACCCAGGATCCGGAGGCCACAATGCTGGCAAGCAGCCACCTTGCTGCCCTCTCTCCACCTCTGTCCTCTGGACACCCACTTCCTGTCTTGCATTCCTCACAAGGCAGCAGCCACAGCCCACAGCTTGGCAGTTTTCCCGACCCCCGTCCCCTGTCTAGTTCCCATTCGTTTGCCGTCTTGGGTCTGCCGAGAAGCCCGGCATTCGGTGGGGGCGGGCTGCACCCCGCTCTCTCAACCTTCTCTGTTTCAGGACTCTGTCCACTTGCAAACCACGGGCAAGTTTTACAGGGTCTACCCAACAGGGGACAGGCTTATTGGGACTTCAGAAACTGACTAGGAAAAATCCAAATTAAAGAAACCATAAACTGAGGCTGAGTCTGACACAGAAATTTTTAAGACCTTGACTAAGAACTCTACAGGACACTGATATGACGCTATATAGCGCCTGCTGACTCACTCCAGGCTCTTAAGTAGTGTAAGACGTCCGGTCTGTTGCATACACGTGTGCGCTTGGCTAAATGCTGGCCTGTGTCCGTCACAGGCACCAGGCTTGTCTTGCATCACTGGTCCAGAAAAAAGGAGCATTTGTAACCATGCTCTCCTGAGACACAGCACTCCCAGCTCTGCTACTTACAGCAAGGCCCTGTCCTGGGGACAGAGCTCTGGATAACTCTCAAGTTCAATGCTGCATTACCCACTAGCCTGGTGTGTGGGGACAACTGCCACCTCACCTCTTTCCCTCCGTGTCGAGCACGTGAAAGCAACCCTTGCCTCAGCGCACTGGAGCGGGGGTCAGGACGGCTGGTCTCCTTGACTGGAGCACCAGTGCCCGACGCAGCTTTGGCTGAAACGTGACTGGCTGACCCCAAAATAGATGGGAAAGGGTTTTGACTCCCAAGGGGAAAGTTGAGGCAGAAACATTACGGCTGACAAAGAAATGGGAAAGGTGCTATTCTGGGAGCGGCTCCACGCGCGGGAGAAGTTGAGTTTAATCTTGCCAACAGAAAGCAGTTCACAAATTGCACAGCGTAATTTCTAGATGGAAAAGCTCTTACCTGGCTTGTGCCCCCTAGAAGAGGGAAGCGACCCGATTCCATGACTAGACTTGCAGCATTTCAGTACAGGCTTCTGTGTTAGGAGCCATTATTCTTGAAGAAAAGCCATTGCTGGCAACTGCCAAGAAATGTGACTTAGTCGGGGGAGGAGGTCGCTCAGGCCAGCGAGCACTGGGGGACCAGAGCCGAGCTGCCCGTTTCCTTCTGCGCCTGCACCGCCTGCCCTGCTTCCATTGAGGACGGCACAGCTAACGTTGTCGAGTGCACTTCATGCACATACAGAACTGCGACATTCCGAGGCTGTCACGTTGTTAGGCTTTACAAAACACCAGTGTCTATGTACAACACCGCATCTGGCTGGCAGTCATGTGGGAGCTGCTATGCAGACACAGCAGATTCTATTTTTGACACTTTATTTGCAAAACAGAACTTCCTTCCCTCCACCCTTGCAGAGAACCAGCCTTTTTTGTTGGTGGTGGTGGCGGCGGCTAACTTACCTGTTGTAACCAAGGCTTGTGTGGGCAAGGCGCCAGGCAGTTCAGAGCTTACCCTTCCCCAAAGCCCCTGCCCCCAATCCAGTGTGACCTGTTCCTATGCAGGGAGCTATGACGCCATCTTATCCAGGGAAGGCGTAAGCTATAACAACGGTAATGGAACATGCTCAGTTCATGCTCGGTTTTGGATAATCTTTGCTGTCCTATCTTCATTATCTCAGATTACCAAGAAGAAAGTCACTACCAGCAAGAGTTCCAAAATGCAGTTGCCCTGGGGGAAGAACCACCTCAGAGCAGCGAAGAAGGAAGGGGGTCCGTGCTGGAACTTTGTAAACATGCCTTTCCTAAGATGCAAGAGGCTTCTTAGAAAACCCCAACCTTGGAGTATATGAGAAACCAGGAAGAGTACGCTGAGGACGTGGTCTATCGGGCAGGGGGAGTGGAGAGGGGAAGGCGGAACGGAGAGAGAGCTCAGGCTTCCACTGCAGCCCTGCCGTGAAGGAAAGGGTGCGGCTTCTCGAATTGGGGGCAATTCTCCTGCGTTGGTGGCTGTCGTTGATTTAAAACAAAAGGAATGTTTGCAGTTCCTCTGCCCACGTTCTGAGGACTTTGAAGACCAGCAACTTGAATCCCAATTACACTTAGGGGTCCTGGTGTGGGTATTTCCTCCCCACCAAACCTGCACAGGAGGTTTGAGAATAACAAAATCACACTACTTCTGTCTGGAATTTAGTTTTTGTATGAGAAGTTAAAAAATTAAAATGACCAACTGCAGAATAAGATTTCTAACCATTACCAACACTTGCCTTTCATGAGAGTCATTTTGGAAGACACTCCCCCCACTGCGCCCCAACTAGCCATTTAGCACCCTGGAGGGCCAAGAAGGAGCCGAGTGGCTAGGCAGCGGGTGCACGAGCGCACTTCTGGTCTTCACCAAACCCAGGGGTGGTTTGGAGTTCTGTGGACACCGGAAGCTTCAGCTCCCTGACGTCTCTAGGACCGAGCCAGAGCTGCAGGTGGCTCTGCCCAGAGACAGAAAGGGTCTTCTCTTCAGTCTTCTGGGACAGACAGTGGGCAGGAGGTGAGGGGAGCTCTGGTACCAACAGCCAAAAAGTGAAGATGAGGTGACAAGGTCTAGAAAGGAGTCATTTATTAAAAACAAAAACAAAAACCAAACAACAGAAAACAAAACAGCCCTCAGCAGGATTTGAAAACACAGAGACTTGAGGAACGCACCATCCTGATCACTTGACTCTCCCGACAACGTGGCACGCACAGCCTGTAAGCGCTACCCACCGTGCCTTCAAGTGACAGGAACCACAGCACACCAGTTTATTACACAGGTCAACACAGAGGCAGGTCGCCTGAAGACGGGAGGAGCGGGACACGGGTCCTCCTCCACCTCCGCTGCCAGGCATGCAGGCCACTTCCAGGCACCTCTCTGCCTCTGAACGGGCGACCGCTCACCAGGCTGGTGCTGCTGCAACAAGGCAGGCGGGCAGGACTCGGGCCTGTCACCGCTGGAACACTGGCCCTCTAGGAGGGACCACAGCGCCCGGTCGGATTCTCGGAGGGCAGAGCGCCTTACTGCTTCCACAATTCCTGCAATACGGGGTGTATCTCCGAGGGGCAACTGACACTTCTCCCCAATGTCCAGGTGTCACCACAGGTAAACCAAGACTGTAATCACAAGAGCAAGGACAGGATTGTGTTGTTTTTTTCCTTTTTTTTTTTTTTTCTTAAAGGAGTGAGGGCATGGAAAATACAGCACACCAATGAAACAAAATGCCAAAAAAATACAAAAAAATAGAAAATAGAAAAATGTATTTACAAGTAGTACATTACTATGATCAGAAAGCACAAAGACACCTGCTGCTATAATACATGCATCGGTTCAAGAAGAAAGGACTAAAAACCCTGCAAGGGAGAAGCCTGTAAAAACAAAAGGAAAGGCCCAAAAAGGTTTATCTTTTCATCCCTAATTTGCTACACTGATCGAAACCAAATGGGAGTCCCCTAAAGTCCATGAGTCTATCAGTACAAATACTATACTGGTTTTTAACTGCATGTTCAGTTGTGGAGGGAAAGACAGCAGCTTATCCATATACAAGAAAGCCAGAGTAAACGGCTCTACATGCTAACAATTACAGCAAGCCCCTGTCTGCTACACAGCATGATCTTAGCAGGTTTTAAGTTTGTTTATTCATATATATCTATGTGCGTGTGTGTATAAAAACCGTGCCCTCGTTCACTGCCAACACATCTGGGTGGACATGAACTCTTTACAGCAATTCTTATGTGTACATTGTAAGAAGTCACTCAATGTCTGTGGATTTAATAAGTCACTTCACACCACAGAAAATATTTAATAAATCCAAAAAAGGAAAGAAGAATATAACGACAGAAGAGCTTCTGTCTCAGTTCTCTGAAACTGAGTCCCCCACAGGAAACTGGTCCCAAAGTTCTTGAGGGTTCACTGAAGAAACTTCGGTATGCTCATGTTTCTCACCCTTTAGTGTTCAAAAGGTACAGAATGATCCTTGCCATTGTCAGTTTTGAACAGTCCTATCTCCATCCCTCACAGGTAACAGTCTGGGGCAGATCCAGGAAAACGGGAGAGGAAAGCGCGCTGGGGAGGGCTGTCACTCCCAGAGGCCCCTCCGCCGGGGCGGGAGGGAAGGTCCCGAGCAGGGCTCCAGCACCGCGCTCCCGCAAACACAAGATCCAGGCACTCGTCAATTCCTTAAACAGGTACATCTCCGAGTACCAGGCCAACTCTAAGAGGAAACGAAACCAGGCGTTGACAGAAGAGGACTAAGATGGCCATTCTGGTCACGCTCTGCGGTCCATCATACTTCCAGGAATCGGGAGCTGCTGGACTTGGAGTGGAATGGCTCAGACCACATCCGCCGCAGGTCGCCCTGGGAAAGAAGGAACTTGACTAAGTTACAGGTTTAAACACAAGGCACACGTATCTACAAGTCTTTTCTGATTCTTGATCTCAGGCTGCTTCTGTGGAGAATCAAAGAACATTCAAATTTTACTCGCTGAACTGTAACCCACCACTCTTTGAAGCACTAACCAGAAGAGCGTTTGGGCCCCCTGAGCAGGGAGGAGCTTTTGCCACGTCTATCACTTATGAGTCAGGTGCTAGACTAGGCAAGTCAATTTTCCTTTGTGTCTGTTTCCTCATCTGTAAACTGGAAGTTCAAAGTAGAAATCTTGTAAATAGAATGCTCTAAGTCTAGTTTATCATTTCCTGTTCCTAAATTTTATTTATTTCATTTTTAGATTCCACATATAAGGACAGATATGGTATCTGTCCTTGTCTTACTTCACTTAACACCCTCTAGGTTCATCTTTGTTGCTGGAAATGCAAGATTTCATTTTTTATTGTTTAATAATGTTCCATTATCATACAGATTTCTATACACAGATATACATCTTTATTCACTAATCTATTCATGGACATCTAGGTTTCCTCTGTATCTTGCTGTAATGAGCATAGTGGTGCACATTATCTTTTTGAATTAGGGTTTTTTTTTCCTTCAGATAAATACACAGAAGTAGAATTGCTAGACTGTATAGCAGCTCTATTTTTATTTTTTTGAGAAATCTCCATACTGTTTTGCGTAGTGGTTGCACTAATTTACATTTTTACTATCAGTTTACAATACAAGGGTTCCCTTTTCTCTACATCCTCACTAGCATTCAGAATTTATTGGTGATAGCCATTCTGACAAGTGTGAGGTGATATTTCATTGTGGTTTTAATCTGCATCTCCATGATGAGTGATGCTGAGCATCTTTTCATATTGTTGGTCATCTGTACATCTTGGGAGAAATGTGTGTTCAGGTCCTCTCCATCTTTCTGTTGAAGTTGTATGAGTTCTTTACATATTTTGGATATTAACCCCCTTATTAGGTATATAATTGGTGAATATCTTCTCCCTTTCAGTAGGCTGTCTTTTGGCTTTGTTGGTTTCCTTCGTTGTGCAAAAACATTTTAGTTTGATGTAGTCCCATTTGTTTTTCTTTTGTGCCCCTTGCTCAGATATATCAAAAAAAGATATTGCTAAGACCAATGTGAGAGCTTACTATGTATCGTCTAGGAGTTTTACAGTTTCAAGTCTAACATTTAAGTCTTTAATTCATTTTGAGCTTATTTTTGTGTATGATGTAAGAAAGTGGTACAATCTCACCTTGTTGCATTTATCTGTCCAGTTTTTTTTTTTTTTTTAAAGGAATGGACCACTTATTTAAAAGAGACTGTCTCTACCCCATTGTGTATCTTTGTGTCCTTTGTCATAGAATAAGTGACCATGTAAGTGGGAATTTCTGGGGTCTTTGTATTTCATGGGTCTGCTTTTTAAATGCCAGTACCATGCTGTTTTGATTATTGCAGCTCTGTAATATAATTTGGTATCAGAATACATGATACCACCTACTTTCCTCTTTCTCAAGATTTTTTTGGCTATTCGGGGTCTTCTGTGGTTCCATATAAATGTTAGGATTAGTTCTAATTCTAAGAATGTCTGATATTTTAATAGGGATTGCAATGAATCTGTATGCTACTTTAGATAATATTCTTCCACTTATTTGTATCTTTTCAGCTTTTTCTTCAATGTCTTAGTTTCAGAGTACAAGTCTTTCACTTCTTTGGTTTTTTAATACTTTATTTTATACATTTTCATCAATTTTAAATGGACTTATTTTCTTCTTGTTCATTATAGATATGTGTAAATGCAACAATTTCTCTACATTGACTCTACATCCTGAAACTATATGAAGTCATTTATCAGTTCAAATAGTCTATTGGTGGCGTCTTTAGGGTTTTCAATATACATTATCATGTCATCTGCAAATACTGAGAGTTTTATTTCTTCCTTTCTAATCAGCATGCCTTTCATTTCTTTGTATTGTCTGACTGCGATGGCCAGGACTTCCAATACTATGTTGAACAGAAGTAAGAGTGAGCATCCTTGTTTTGTTCCTCATCTTAGAGGAAAAGCTTTCAGCTTTTCACCAGTGAGTATAATATTAGCTGTTAAGTTTGTATGACCTTTATTATATTGAGAGATACATTCTGTCTTTACCCACTTTATTGGAAGCTTTTATCATCAAAGAATGTTGAATTTTGTCAGATGCATCTATTGAGATGATCATATGGTTTTTATCCTTTATTTTGTTAATGCGATGTGGTACATTGATTTGTTTATGGATGTTCAACCATCCTTGAGATCAGTCCCTCTTGGTCACAATATATAATCCTTTTAATCCATTGCTAAATTTGGTTTGCTTATATTTTGTTGAAAATTTTTATATTTATGTTTACAGAACATAATGAGCTGCCCCCTTTTTGGGGGGGTGGGGTGGGGGCAACGTCTTTATCTGGCTTTGGTGTCAGAGTAATGCTGGCCTGTAAAATGAGTCTGTAAGCATCTCTTCCTCTTCAATTTTTTGAAATAGTTTAACAAGGATAAATATTAATTTTCTTCTTTGAATGTTTGGTAGAATGCACCTATAAAACTCTCTGATCCTGGGCTTTCATTTGTTGGAAGTTTTATTTTCTTTTTAATTACTGCTTCAACTTTATTGCTAGTATTTCATAGTCCATTTAGAGTTTATATTTCTTCCTGGTTCAGTCTTAGGTGGTTATATACTTCTGGAAATCTATCCATTTCTTTTAAATTGTCACATTTGCTGGTGTAATTGTTCATAGTATTCTTTAATGATTCTTTGTATTTCTGTGGTATCAGTTGTAACTTCTCTTTCATTTATGATTTTATTTGAGTTTTGTTTGTTTTTTGGCTTATAAACAGCAATTCATTTCTATAAAGTTCTGGAGGTCGGAAGTCTGAGACCCCGTACCGGCACAATTAGGTTCTGGTGAGAACCCACATCCTGCTTCTCTTTTTTTCTTGACGAGTTTGGCTAAAGATTTATCTATTTGTCTTTTCAAAGGACCAGCTCTTAGTTTTTACTGATTTCTTCTCGTGTGTTTTTAATTTCTACTTCATTTATTTCCACTCTGGTCTTATTTCCTTCCTTCTACTCACTGGGGTTTTGTTTGTTCTTTGTCTAGTTCCTTCAGGTGCAGGGTTTAGATTGAGATTTTTCTTGTTTCTTGAGGAAGACCTATGTAGTTATGAACTTCCTGCTTAGGGCTGCTCTTGGTGCATCCCATAAATTTTGAAAAGCTGATTTTCATTTTTCCTCCTGTGGTTGATTTCTAGTTTTATGCCACTGTGGTCAGAAAGGTGCTTGCTGTGATTTCAATCTTCTTGAATTGAGGCTTGATTTGTGGTCTAATGTGTCATTTACCCTGGAGAAGGTTCTATGTGCAGTTGAAAAAAAAAATGTCTTTTGCAGTTTTGGCATAAAATGTTCTGTAAATGTCTAACAAGTAATCCTGTCTAATATAACATTTAAGGTCATTATTTCATTATTAATTTTCTAACTTAACGGCCTATCCATTGATGTCACTGGGGTATTAAAATCCCCTACTCGTCCTGGCTGGTGTGGCTCAGTGGGTCAGGCGTTGTCCTGCAAATGGAAAGGTTGCCAATTTGATCCCCAGTCCGGGCACATGCCTGGAGTTGTAGGCCAAGCCCCCAGTATGGGCATGCAAGAGACACCCACTGATAATTCTCTTCCTCTCCAAAAATAAATAAATAAAATCTTTAAAAAAAATAAAAACCCCTTACTATTTTATTAATGTAAATTTTTGCCTTTATGTCCATTTATAATTGCTTTGTATGTTTAGGTGCTCCTATGCTGAGTGCATAGATATTTATATTTATTATATCCTCATTTTGGGTTACTCCTTAATTATGTAATGTCCTTTTATTTTTTCACATTTTTGTTTTAAAATCAATTTCATCTGATATTAAGTACTGCTACTCCAACTTTCTTTTAGTTTCTATTTGCGTGGAGTATCTTCTAACGCTTCACTTTCAGTCTAACTTTCAATTTGAAGTGAGTCTCTCCTAAACGGCTTCTAGATAGGTAATGTCTGCTTTCTTGTTAAATCCACTCAGCCACCCTGTGTAGTTTTATTGGAGCATTTAATCCATTTACATTTACTGATAAGTATGTACTCATTGCCGTTTTGTTCATTGTTTTTATAGTTTGTCCTCTATTTGTTTCTTCTCTTCATCTCTTCCCTTGTGTTTTGCTGTTTTTGTTTCCCCACGTTTCCTTCTCTTTGTTCTTTGTATATTGTTTGCAGGTTTTTCGTTACCAGGAGGTCTACGCATACCCTCCTCTCTCTGTAGCCGTCTGTTTTAGGCTGATAGGTGCTTCAGTTCAAATGCATTGTAAGAAGACTGCACCTTTACTCCCCTCTCCATGCTTCATGTTCTTGATGTCACATTTTAGATCTTTTTGTGTTGTGTATCCCCACAGTACTTATTTTAATTTCACCTGTGTAGTAGCTCTTGTCTGATTTGCTGTATTTACTATCTGGCAATACTGAGGTTTTTCCTTTTCTCCTATTTTGTGTTTCTGGTTATAGCCTTTCCCTTTCTACTTGAAGAATAACCCTTCAACATTTCTTGTAAAGTTGGTTTAGTGGTGATGAAGTTCTTTAGTCTTTTGCTTGTTTGGGAAAGTTTTCTCTCTCCTTCGATTCAGAATAACCTTGCTGGGTAAATTATTCTAGGTTGTTGGTTCCTTTCTTGTTTTTCTCTTGCTTCATTTAAGACTGCCTCTATAACTTTTGCCATTTTAATTGCAATATGCCTTTGTGTGGGTTTTTGTGGCTTGTTTTGTTTGGAACTCTGTGCTTCCTGGACCTGGATGTCTGTTTCCTTTCCCAGGTTAGGGAAGTTTCTGGCCATTAGTTCTTTAAATAAAGTTTCTGTTCCTTTCCCTTTTCTTCCTAGGATCCCTAATAATGCAAACATTTGAGCACCTGATGTTATCTCAGAGGCCCCTTATTCTTGTTTATTTAAATTCTTTTCTCTTTCTGCTGTTCTGATTTGTTGATTTCTACTGCTCTTCTAGGCTACTGATCCATTCTTCTGTGTTAGCTAATTTGATGTTGATTCCTTCTAGTGTGTCCCCCCCCCCCCCCCCGCCCGTTATTGGAGTCTTCAGGTCTGTTGGTTCTTTCTAATTCTTTACTGATGTTTTCCCTAAGTTCTTCCATTCCTCTCTTGAGTTTGGTGAAGACTCCTACAACCATTTCTTTGAATTATCAGGTAAATTATTTTTTTCTGTCTCCACACCTCCCCGCAACCCCCGCTCCGGATTTTTCTTGTTCCTTCATTCAAGCAATATTTGTTTTTCATTTGTCTGACCATCTTTGTTTTCTTTAATGAATTACAGAAAATAGCTGTCCCTTCCGCTCTTGGGAAGTCGTTTTATGCTGAAGTATGCTCTGTGTACACTGTGCACACACACACACCATGGTTTTGGCAGGTCAGCAGGAGCTGAGCAGGTGCTTCCGGTGTCAGGGAAGTGGCTACTGAGCTGGAGCAGCTCCTGGTGGGGAGGCCAGATGTGTGTAATACTGCCCTGTTGATCCTACCTATTCCCTTTGTTCAGGCAGAAATAGACTCCAGCGATGATGTGTCCAGAAACACTGCAGAGACCTTGCAGGTAGGCCAGAGCACTTGGATAGAGTGTCTTGCCCACCCTATGGACGTGGAGAAGGAACAATGGTGCTCACCGGTTCCTCTGACCCCAGAGAACCCCTCGCTCCCTAGTCTTCTTTAGAGCCTTTATATGGTTTTCTGTACTGAGAGGACTCCGTGTAGAAGCAAACTCAGGGCAGACTTTATGTGCCAGGTGGTTTTGGAAACTCACCTGGAGGCGAGCAGCCATTTACATACAGCACCTGGGGCACTAAGCCTGCCCAGCAGAGAGCTTGCTGGAGAAAGGCCAGGTGGGTATGTGGACACCGTGTTGTTTCTGCTTACTCCTATTTCCAAACTTTAATGCAGAGTATTAAAAAAGGTGTTAGGTGGCAACAGGGTGCTATTTTTAAGAGGAGAAGGAAGTCTCTGCAGCTGGGTCCTAGGGATTTCAGTTAATTATCCAGGAGCAGGTGGTGTAGTAGTCTAACTCATTAGCATTTTCTGCCAGTGGATAGAAGAATCTGTAAAAGGTTGCTAATATCAGGTTAGTAAAACAAGAGAACAAAACCCCAATGACAAGATCAAGAGCTCAGGGGCCTAAGTAGAACCACCTCCAGCAAGGAGAATACATACCCGAGTCCAGGATCAATGCCAAGTTATTGCTTTCACAGGTTTATAACGCCTTCTCTCACCTTTAAATAGGCCATCGTGAGGAGCGGCAATAAGGTAAATGGCACCAAATAGAGAAGGGCAGGCTGGGCTGCTCGGTGGATGCGAGATGCCACAGTAGCAGTGAGCAGACCTACGAGGGTAGAGAAGCATCCGTGAGTAACTCCAAGGAGCTGGCTCCAAGAGAGGGCGACGCCTGGCAGCTGGGAGCCTTTCTCGGCAGTCTCAAGGTTGTGTAGACAAGATGTGACATACTCCATCCATTGGGTAAAGTATAAAATGCCCAGCAGTGGGCCGTTAAAGAAACATGAAACAACACTGTTTAAAAAAAGACAAAAACAGCCCTAGGCTGGTGTGGCTCAGTGGACTGAGTGCCAGCCTGCAAAACAAAGGGTTGCCAGTTCAATTCCCAGTCAGGGCACATGCCTGGGTTACAGGTCAGTTCCCAAGTAGGGGGTGCATGAGAGGCAAACACATATTGATGTTTCTCTCCTCCCTCCCTTCCTCTATCTCTAAAAATGAATGAATAAAAATCTTAAGGGAAAAAAAAAAGACAAAAACAAAAAACGCTAGAATTCCAAGGACCCATGACTAGCCCAACTCGCACTCTGTGCTCTGGTTCCCAGTTCAAGTCTTCACCTCAGCCCCGAGTGTGCCTGGTCTCCCTCTGTCCACTGTCATATGTGATGTTAGACTTGAAGACAAAAGGCCTGGGTTCAGTTTCAGCTCTACCACTTGCAGGAGCCATGTGCCCTTGATTAAGGTTAAGGCCTTTCTCTTCTTGGAGCCTCCCCTCTAGCTGAGGGGGTAACACCATTTGGCCTGACCGCACACCCGCCCCAAGTTCTTGGACTGAAATGAACCCATGTGTATGAGTGCGCTATGGAATTAGTGACGCGCTGATGTTAAGTAGGAGGTGAAAGAGGTGCTCTTTTCCATTTACTCTGCTGTACTCATCGCAGTTGCAGACAGGTACCACTATTCCTAGCCCAACTACAATGGGCTCTTCCTATCTGCCTGTAAGTAAGCTGGTTAGAGAAAAAAACAGCCTAAGGAGACTCCCAGGTGACAACAAATGAAGGGAAATACACATGATGTTCATTAAACTCAAGCTGAAGACTTTTAATTAAGCATATAGATCGATCCTCAATGATTATGTGGTAGGTGTTACTCAGAGGCTAAACCATACTCTTACTACAATGCTCTTCAGACACCGAGAACTGGGCTGGCCAGCAGAGACAGCATCTATCATCTTGTGGGGTTGGGAAGTGTTTTCCTTTGTGGCTGGCTGTCTATTAGCAGTAGCCAGTACTGCTCTCCTTCTATCCCCAACCTGCAGCTAGAAGACCCGATTTCCTTCCAGGGGGTGGAGGGGAGCCAGAGAGGGGATCCAAAGGCAAGTTCTGGTTCTCTCTTACCTACAAAGTATCCAATGAGGGTGCAGTGAAAGTAGGAGACCTTCTGCATGCGACCAGAGATGTTGGCGGGTCCAGAGGCACCACAGGAGTCACCATTGGCTTGTTTTTTGTAGTTGTCATATCGAAGGACAAAGCACAACAGGAGTCCGGGCATCACAATGTCTCCAATGCCCAACATAGAGAAGTGGCTGCCAGTGGAGCTGGAATGCAGTGTCACAGGTCAGAGATGCCACACTCTACAATCCTAGTCTCCTTCTCCTGTGCAAGGTCTGTGAGCTTTGTGAGATATCAAAGAACTTACCTGAATGGCAGATGGAAATCTCTAGTGGTTGAACACTAGTTTTTAAGAGTCTAGAGATTAAAAACCACAGCACTAGCAAAAGAGGTCTTCAACCTAGCCCCTCCGTGCTTCAGGAGAGCACTCGCAGATGGCTGTAAGCAATCTGCTTAAGCACCACCATCTCCAGAAATGTCAAGTGATTCACCATTTGTCACACATTCACCGCGGAGACTTCAAAGAAGCACCTAATTACTACCAGACATGAGATTAAAGCAGCACATTAATTTCTCCAAGATTATATTACCAGGAACTGTATAATTTAAGCATTAGGACATATTTTTGCAAATGTCTTAGAAGTAAAAAGCTCCAGGATCTCCTGTTAATTCTCTCCAGCTTTAAAATATGTCAACAGTAGTAACATATGGTTGTTTGAGAACATTAATCAATATTAAAAAGCAGCACCTGTATCACTCAGTGACAAAACTGCAAGTCAAGTCAATATTCTCTCATTTGTAAGACAGAGATGCTGACTCACAACCCTGTCCAGTCTAGGATTAAAACGCTGATGACAAAGACAGATTAATCAAGGAACAGGAAGGCAGTGTGTCATGAGGCCTGAGGCCTGATGTGTCAGTCCTACCTTGGGAAAACCAGTTTTCCAGGCAGAGACAGGCGAGGAACATCGCGCCCAACGTTGGGCCCCAAGTGGAGCTTCCGGGAAAGAACATCAAGAGGATTGTCAGCAGGCTGGGTGGCCACCTTCACCATGACGTTGCTATTGAAGATGTAGGCGGAGAAAAACACCTGCCGAGTGGAGAGTAACCTTAATGGGGGGCGGGGGGGGGGAGGCGCTGGAGGCAAGGTGGTTTCAGCGCTGGCCCTCTTTGTTCGTTCCAGCAGAGCCTCAAATGCTGCACTAGCAAGCTTTTCTGACTGCGTGCTCTGAAGAGGGAATCTCTGCTCCCAGGGCAGAGAGCTCTGCCTGCCTGCTCCCTCTCCCACTCCGCCACACACATGTGCACTGGAGCACAGCTCAGGAAACAAAGACTCAAGCAACTCCCTGCTCATCTTTTAAAACAGCCAGCTCAGGGCTGGTGGGGGGCGGTCCTAGATGGGAGGGACTCCAGCTAGTTAGACTTCAGACACTCGGACTCCCATTAAACACAGAGGGGAGTAGCGGCTTCAGGGCTTCAGGGCAACAGACACTTACCCAAAAGACGTCGTAGATGAGGAGCCCTGAGAGAAGCAGGCAGGAGACCTTGAGGCTGGGCAGGCGGACAAAGGCGATCATGGCGACACAGAGACCCATGGCCAGGGCTGGGGAGGGGACAGCAGTCAGTGTGCAGTGTGGGCGCACCCCCTTTCCACGAGCTATTCAGCTAACGAACCTAACAAAGTTGTAGGGCCCCCTCAAAAATCAGGCAGCCCTAAGCTCCAAGCTAAGACTTTACACCCTACAGTACGAAGTGCCCACGTGAGCCCAGTCTGACCGACTGGTATTTGGGGACATTCCTTTTCCCACACTACAGACAGTGCTCAACTGTGTAAGACCCAGGAGAGTCTCTACTCTGATAAAGTCCCAGACAGGGTCACCTGGGACCTCCTGGCCTCAGTCTCCTGCCACCCCTCATTACGTCAGGTGCATCATTCTTGCTCCTTACTTTGGAGTTAGCTCATCCTGTATCACACCCCCTTTTATTTACTCAGGGACACTGTTCCAGCAACTCATTCCTCTCTATCCCTGCCTTATTTTTTTTCTTGCACCTCTCAAAATCTGAGACATGCTGTAGCCTCTTAAAAAATGTTCTCACAACTACAATGTAAGGTCTGCCGGCACGGCCACTCTGTGCCGAGGCCACTCAGGTATGATCGCTCTGCCCGATACATACTATGCTCTGTGATGTGCTATGCTGAGGTTCTGTGCTGGGCTTCTTTCCCTGGAAAATTCATCCTTTCTTTTTTTTAAATGTCTTGTTTATTTTTAGAGAGGGGGAAGGGAGGGAGAAAAAGGGAAATATCAATCAGTCACCTCTCACAGGCCACCTGACCGGGGACCAAACCCACAACCCAGGCCTGTGCCTTGACCGGGGATCGCTCTGGTGACCTTTCGCTTTGTGGGATGACGCCCAACCAACTGAGCCGCACCAGTCAGGACTCGTCCTTATCCTAGAAGAGGCCAGGACAGAAAGCCCTCCCTCAGGGAGTCTTTCCTGGCCTAACCAGGTTAAGTTGTTTTCTATGCATCCATTCTATAGCAGTGTGATTATCTATATATCAGTAGTTTATTCCCTAAACTAGGTGTTCTTGGTAGACAGAAGGCATGGCTTATTTTTTCCTGTGGATCCCCAGCACTTGGCAGAGTAGATAGTCAACAAGTATTTGCTGAGTAAATGAAAAAGTATATTCTCTCAACTTCACGTTTCAAGTTAGTCTAAGGAAAGTAAGAAAAGCAAGTAAAGCCATATTACAGATGAATAGCACTTTAGTAGGTTTGGTAAAGTGTCAATATATGTAACAAAGTTGGCAGGTAGAGGCACACCTGAGAGATACGGGTTTGGTTCCAGACCGTCACAATAAACTGAGTACTACAATAAAGTTATACATTTTTTTGCTAGTGGAGGGCGCTGCTTTCAATTGGTAAAAAATGCAACATCTGTGAAGCCCAATAACACAAAGCACAATAAAATGAGGCTATGCATGCCCTGGATACCTGCATACATCAACTAAACTAATATTTAATGAGTTCCTACTTGAGGAACTCAAACAGAAGAGAAAAATAATTCCCGTCCTACAGCACAGAAGGGCTGGAAAGGCAGTAGTAAAACTAGGAAGAAACACCATCTCTATTCCTCCTGTCTTTGCTGTCACGCGTTCACTGAGCTCCAGAGTGTGTATTTTGGAGAGATGTGGTAAAGACATTCCTGACTTTATAATAATTTAGGATGCTCATTTTACTAGGGTCTCCTTTAATTTTGTTATAAATTTATAAAAACAGAACCAAGATGGCAAAATAGATGCAAATACATGTCATTTCAAATGAATATAATGAACTGTATTAATGTATTAAGTAGTTAGAGCTCATTAGGCTTTGCAAAGATTGAAACATTTCAAGGTGCAAAGGGAATGCCTGAAACGTGTTTAGGCATTAAGAAACGTAAGGCCCATGATACAATCAACCCACGCTCATTTTTTTTTAAATAACGGATTCCCATTATAATTCTCTTAGGAAACAAATGGTTGGCTGCGCTGTCAGTAAATAATGAGGACACTGTCAGGCACAAGCTCTGCTGGCTTGAGGAACAACATGGTCACTGCTGGCTGGGAGGCCCCTGGGACAGAGGCTGGGAACTAGTGACGAGAGAACCTGTCACACGCAGGTTTGGGTAAAAACACTGGCTGGGGGAATGGTGCAGTGTGGCAAGAGGTGACCTGCTCTGTAACTTCCAAGTGAACACGCGGAGTGCAGAGCATCAAGGAAACAAAGGAGACAGATGAGACAAGAGTGCGTGGGCCGCGAGGGTCTGAGAACTGACTGATGCTGAACTGAAAGGGGGATGGAAGCCCCCTGGACGGACAAGCAAAAAGCAGAAGGGCAGGCTCCCAGGGTGAAATGTATGTGCCTCTAACACCTGCAGGTGACTGGTCCATTCCAAAGCATTTCTATTCAGTTTACCACTCAATCATCACTCAGTCCTCAACAGCAGGAACGTCTGTAGGTCTTGCGGTCTGAGCACCCACTCACTGCTCTACCACTCCTCTTACGCTAATCCTATCCACCTGGGGTGAAACCAGACACAGGTAGGACAACTGCCCAGGGACAGAATTTCCTATGTCTCCAGGCCAGTGATTTTCAACCTTTTTCATCTCCTGGCACAAATAAACTACGAAAATTCTACACACCGAAAAATATATTTTTTGTCTATTTAAAAAAAAAATGTATAATTTTGATTCCTTCACACCAGAAAGCTATTGTTGTGTTGGCTGTTGTCATTTTTTTATTTGACAGCCTCAGGGAAGAGAGGCCAGTGCCCGACTACACATGGGCTGCACGCTTTGTAAGTCTCGTGGCGCCCCGGCACCCCGCTGCAGCGCCCGGGCGGAAATCACTGCTCTGGACGACGTCCTTCTATTCCTAAGCTTTCAAACAAAAAACTCTGGGTTCATTTTCAACTTATCACAGTCTTTCATTACGTACGTTGGACTGCAGCCATTTTGGGGAGTTAATCTTTATAGTTACTGAAAGCCTTGGTCGCGCCTCCCCACTTCCTCCCCGCTGCCCTTGTGAAAAACGGGTTCACATCACTCTTGGCCTTACTGTGGGCTCCCATCTCTGAAATGGAGCCAATCTATTGTATAGCCACATATCCTCTGGCAAAACTCACACAGACCAGTGACTGCTGTGCCTCCTAGGCTCTGCCTCCGTGTCCACCTCCCTTTGATCCCAATTCTTCAACCTATTCCTCCTCTCCCTCCACCTAAGCTGGGCAACAGCCTCTTTCCACACCAGCCAAGTCTCTACACGGTACTTGAAGGTCCATGTTTGAAGAGGCAGACTGCACCCCTTCCACCACGTCAGAGAAGCCTCTCAATGTCAGTCTGCTGAATGACTCCAAGGTGAGTGCTGCCACATGCTCTGTTTTATCCCCCAAAAACATTCAACCACTCATTTAGTTTTCCTATCTTTATTCATTCATTCATTCATTCATTCAAGTAACCCTGAAAAAAACCCCCAAAACCTTAGCTTCTTTTAAGGGCTCTTCCGAGCCAAAATAAAGAGATGATTAACTTTCCCTTGCGCTCCATGCTGCTTGAGAAACTCCCAAGACTCTCTAGTAGCTTTATTAATAATCTTACTTTTTTGTTAAATGTAAATTAAGCAACAGTGTTAAGGGAAGTAAATTATTAATTTTAGCCACTTAGCTATACTTACTTTCAATTTATTATTGATAGAATCTCTGTATCACTCTGTCTTCCACAACCAGTAGGGCCAAGGACAAGGGCAGTGACACCAAGCTGAGCTTCAATGTTCTTGACAAGGATTATGTAACCTGTAAAGTCTTAAACAGTGCTTGCTTCTAAGATCCCTCATAGCTAAGCCCCATCGGACTAAGCACTAGAGTCTAGCATTTTAAAAGAAAAATATCAATTGCTAGGTTACTGGCACTGAAGGTTTTCTAATCATAGCTTAGTAACAAGTGCTACAGAGTGCGGGGCTGGGCTAGACATCTGCTAAGGCTCTTCTATTTCCACAACTGGTCAGGTGATGCGGACTGTGAACTTGGCTGAATGATCCTTGAACACCCTAGTGGTGTGTGTGCACAAGATTCATCAGCCCTTAGCCTAACATAGCACACTGCCTACTGGTCAAATCCTTTCAAGTGGTGTGTCCAAGCTGCAAGCCCGTGGGCCACATGGGTCCCCATGATGGCTATGAATGAGGACCAACATGAACTTGGAAATTTACGTAAGACATTATGAGGTGTCTTTTTTGTGTGTGTGATTACATGTTGCAATGTACTTATTGTGTAGCCCAAGACAATTCTTCCAGTGTCGCCCAGAGACGCTAAAAAGTCGGACACCCTGAGCTTTCCCAAATTTAAAAGGTTAATTTACCAGATGAAACAAAAGATTTTAAAAAGTTCTAGATTTAGTTCAAGAAAATTCTGACGCTCCTTAATATTAATGCTTTTTAGTATAACCCTGAAAATATACTTCATGCCTAGCCCTAAAACAACCACATTTATCATTGTTTTCACTCTAAATTAACTTCAAATAATTGGCTTTCATTAACACTCACTTAAAAAACCTCTATCACCAAAATCACTGCCTACAAGATGATTTCTGATTCTGAAGAGAAATCTGTTAAGATAAATTCTACATGAGAGAGACATATTTCAGAGCACTGAAGACCACGGCTAGAAAGCTATATATTTTGTAATAGCAGAAAACAAATCACACACACATCAATCACTAATCTGAAAAACAATGAAAAAGCTCAAAGGGTCTCTTTTTTCTTTTGTTGAGAGAGAACTCTCTACTTGTTCACAAGGACAGTTTAACCAGTGCAAACTGGAAAGAAGAAGAAACCCTTGTACAAGTAAATATTGGGAAATAGCAATAATGATAGGAAATGCTGTTCAAGTCTCCTAGTTAGGTCCAGTTAAGGTTTATGGGAACCTCACTGAACAAAGAAATTTCAATTATTAGGTGAATTTCATAATGGAAATGTGTTTCTGGGAGCGATCACTGGGAAACTAGTTTGTCCTTTATTGCCAATTTTCTATCGACTCCAAGTTTGCATAAAGGACGCTGCAGTGGAATGCGCCCTTCAGTAGGGTCTACAGAGAGCTGCTTATCCCATTTTGCCTTTAGTGAGTCTAATGAGCATACTCCCACCCCTACCTACAGAAGTAGAATGGAGAAAACTATGACTTGCTCTAAAGTATGTTTCAGATGGCTGTGTGAATCAGTTTATTTCGAAAAGACTATCTTCTTCCACATGCTAACCTTTTCTTTTTTAGTGGCACACTACTAGTAAATGGGTTTTTCTATGCAATCCTTGGGTAGGGTAGAGATAAGAGTATAAAGAACATATGCTTGCTGATTTGAGAGATCTGATCTTTTCTGGGTTAGCAGTTCTTAGCAAAATCTGTAAATAGTATCATGTGTGTCTGGACACATGAATAAAGAGTTCCATGAAAGGAGAGACACCAAAAGTCAGTACTGGGATTACAGAGAGCCTCAGAACACGCAGGGGACTAAGAGACTTCAAGGTGCTTTAAGCATCGCTAATCATTTAGATTCTGAGTCTGCTAGCACGGAGACCAATTAGACTCCATGCTTATTGGTTAAGTGATTATTGTTTTATATTTACTCTAGTTAAAAGCGTAGCACCTGGATCTTTCATTGTCTCATTTTACGTAACATTTGTGTAGGTAGAGTTAAGTGTACCCAATTTATATCTGTACTATTTCTAGTTAAATCATTCTGTTGCAGAAACCAAAAGTTAATCTTAGGAAAAGTCAAGCACACATGCCTACCACTTTATCGCTCTCAGTAACAAGTATATATAAAATAGGCATCACCCTTCTACCACAAGCTGGCCAAGCAACTTGTGCGGCATCAGATGTAACAAATGTAGTGTTTTTTTTTTCTTCTTCAACTTTTTATCAATCTCCAGAAGCATGAAGTATCAAACACCAATTCATAAGAATACTGAAAGCACTGATACTTGATTTAGAAAATTTAGCAGTTCTGAGAACCACTTAAAAAAAAATACGATACTTCAGAATGCTTATATACATAGTAGGCACTCCTCAAGTACTGAAGTGATCCCAGTACATTTTTTTTTAAAGATTTTATTTATATCTTCTTAGAAAGTGGTAGGTAGGGAGAAAGAGGGGGAGAGAAACATCAATATGTGGTTGCCTCTCGCATGCCCCCAACTAGGGACCTGGCCTGCAACCCAAGCATGTGCCCTGACTGGGAATTGAACTGGTGACCCTTTGATTCCCAGTCCAGCACTCAATCCACTGAGCCACACGAGCCATGGCCACAATAAATTTTTTTTATAAGGACTCTATAAAATAGGACCAAAGCTGTTGGAACCAGCAAAGGTAAACCACTGCAGGGTCCAGACACTGGTGGTTTTGACACTGACTTCCCATTCTGAGTCACTAAAGGTTTGTACGTGAGTCTCAGGGATGATCGGATCTGTAGCTGCAGGGAACTGCTTTTGACTTGGAATACTTGGTATATGGTAGGCATTCAAAAAAGCATTAAACAACAACTATGACAACAAATATATAAAAACGAATGATATATTTAAAATTATATGTTTAAAATTCTTAAGACTGTCCAACAGTAAAATTGCGACTTGTTCTTTAAACATCCAGTTCTGTGGAGCCGCAGCGCGCTCGGCACGTGGGCAAACCGTAGCACCCCAACGAAACGCCTATGCTGTTTCTTACGTCACACCCTCCTCCCCACACAGCCACTGATGTGCTCTCCATCGCTGTAATTTTATCTTGAGCAAACAAATACTAAAAAAGTACATCATGTGTTTCATATGTTTTTAAGTGCTTTTTCTGTATGTATTACCTTTGATTAAAATAACGTACACCACCGTGGTTGGTGTGGCTTGGTTGGAACTTTGTCCTGTAAACCAATCGCAGGTTAGTTTCCCGGTGAGGGCACATATCTAGGTTAGAGGTTTGGTCCCTGGTCGGGGCATGTATGAGAGGCAAGAGATCGATGTTTCTCTCTCACATCGATGTTTTTCTCCCTCTCTTCCCCTCTCTGGGGTCAATGAGCATGTCCTCAAGTGAAGATTAAGAAAAGGAAACCATTTAAATACAATTTTACAGAGCTTCCACTCCACTCCATAGTTTTTGCCCTAATGCAGCTTCTTAAGAGTTTTTCACTAATTAATTTGGTGCATATAAATTTCAAATTCTTCCACTGGTTAAAGTAACTTAATGAAAAAAAAAATCTCTTGAAACAGAAGTATAAGGTTTTAGCTTTCCTTAGTCTTAATAAAGAGGAAATTTTAAACCCTATGTTATTGATTCTAGATTGCAGGGGAAAAAAAGTTAAAAGTCCTTTTTGTTAAATTCTATCCAATTTGACCATGAGCAGAGCATCTCTGGTTTTGAATTGTCCAGAAGTGGCAAATTCAGAGAGAGAACGTAGATTAGCAGGGGCCTGGGCCTGGGCCGTGGGAACGGGGAAGCGACTGTTAATGGGTGTGAGTTTAGAGGGTGGGGGATAAAAACGCACTAAGGCTGATTGTGGTGGTGACTGTAGAACTCTGTGAATACCCTGGAGACCACGAATCGTACAATTGAAGTGGGTACACTGTGTGTGGTATGTGCACTGCATCTCAAAAAAGCTCTTATTAAAAAATATTTTTAAAATGTGAGTAGAAATAGTAAGACTCAATGATACATAACACTCTCTGTGGATACCTAGTATTTATGGTAATCAGAAGTAGCATGACTAACACACAGAGTAGAGTGAACGCAGAGAAATTTAACTATTTATAAACTATATTAGATTTTAACTTTTCACATATTAGTTACTCACCATCCATGAGAAGCCAATGGCCAGTGAGGACCCAGATGAGAACAAGCATGACAGACAGAGAGAATGAGAGTAGCTCAGCAGCAGTGAAACGCCCACAGCATCCAAAGGAAATCCTGGAAAACACATGACATTTACTGGACTAACGGGCAATAAACTTCATTCAATACCCAAACTGGACTTTGGTTCATCATGATTTGAGCTCCTTAGGGTCGGATTAGAGTAGCAGGCAACCATCTAGATATCCGGACATAAAAAATACCCAAGCCTCTTCGGAGTAAACTACAAAGAGCTCAGATAATTATATTTCTGAACCCATTTGATAATGTACTTTTTATCCCAAATGAGCAACATAGGTGTTTAGAAGTTTAAAGTGACAATATCAATCTTTGGAGATTCTAAGTACACAGGAAATTCTATTCTTATGAGGAAAACGTTCAGGAAAATTAATAATTCCATTCATTTAGCAAAGAAGAATAAACACTTATAAGATATTAAATCCACTTGGTTATCACTAATTCCTGGGAAAATCAGCTGCCCCAAGTGACCAGTGTCCTAAGTGCATGCAGAGTCTCCATTAGCAAAAGATTCGTTTCCATGGAGCTTCAGGAGTTAAGGTGTGAAAACTGGGATCACATCTAAGTGATCAGTTTATATTCTAGGTTACCAAAGATGAAAGGGAAACAATGCCTGAGTCAACCACTATTTTCATAGCCTATTCTCATCTTTCAGTAATCTAAGTGGGAAGCATAATACAATGGCTCTGACTTCCTGAAGTTGGTTTATATTTCTTCTGCTATGAAAAGGTACAAAAGGAAGTACTACCTTCCAGTTTTAAAATCAAACATCTCACTTCCCAGTTTTCTAGCATTTGTTATGCTCCAGTCAAAACAAGAAGTTTTAGACTCATAATAATGCTATCAAGCATGAAAGAAAAACATACAAGTTTGTAATTTAGAGGAAACTGCCAACTCCTTACTTGTTCTGAGGTGAACAGGGTCTTGTTAAATACTGGCACATCGGGAGAAGAAGAAAAGCAAAAGCTATCGTTGCAAGAACTACAGAGAGAAAATACATGGTTAAGTTTTGTTGTGGTGGCTTTTTTTTTTTAAACATTTAAAAAAATGGCATGACTTATGGAAACAATTTCCTAGAATACTTTTTTCGACAAGTGGACACAATCAAATTAACCAGAGAAGAAAAATATCCTCCTTTAGCACTCCACAGATAACCTCTAAAAAAGATGTGAAGTAGGGGAGGCAAGAAAAGATAAAGAGCAGGCCAGGGGATTACCTCCCAGCAAGCCTAGCACTTCGTTCGTCTATTACACACCTCCATCATTGCTCAGCTTAAGAACTGATCAGAGAGCTGATTGCTGAATTATCTTGATTAGCTATCAATGTTTCTACCTGTGGAAACATCAGTAGGGGATGCAAATGACCATTCTGCCAAACTAGACTTTCTGGTAACCTACGGGACAAAAGTGATCCTACTTTGGTGTCGTAAAGCTCAAGAGTTTTCAAACTCTTGGCCTTTTGTTCAGATTATGTTGGCATGTGTGTCAAGTGGTTCAAGAAGGGGTAAGAGGAGGAAAAGCCAGACTTGTTAAAAAAAAAAAGAACTGGAGAGATGGTATGATGTATAAATCTTAATGTCTGAGTGATGATAAAAAACAAGGTGAACATGTTTCCTTTTAGGCTAAGAACAGAGAAATTCATTTACCTGCTGTACATATTGTAAAAACTACTTGAACCGAGTCAAAGAAGAAGAACATTACTAGGAGAGAGACAGAGGCTCCAATTGGAAGGAACAGGGCCTGGGTAGAGTCAATAGTTTGGATACCTGAAAGAGAAAAAGGGACATATTAACCACTTCTGTAACAAGCACCATGCCATATACTCTAGATACATTAACTCATTAGAATGCAGACAGTTCTAGGGATTAGTGTATAATATATAGATATCTAGGTCCCCTAAATCTTTATTCCCAATGAGATTATGAATTCCTTGCTCTCCTCACAGTGTCTTCATTACAGCAGCTGCTCAAAAAACACTTGTTGAATTGAGATGCTAACCATTTGGATAACAGGGTGCCAAAAATAAACAAAATCAAGAACATTCAAAGGTAGTAAAAATTCAGATTCATCTATTTGAGTACATATATGGTCTTTTGTATAGGCTTGGTAAAAGAGGTAGTTTAAACCCACTAACTAAAATTATTTCTCATCACCTGTGGGTTTACTGTACTCATGTTCACTCTTCCCCACTGTTGCTAATAGTTGAGGACTGATTTTGGGGCTGGGGGAATGGAGAGAACAAAACATTCTAAAAACAGCAAATCAGAAAAATTATGGGAACATCTTAAGGAACAAATAAGATTTAGTACAATGGTTCTTCATTCTTGGCTCATCAGAATCACCTGGGGAGTTTAAAAAAAAAAATTTGCAATGCCCGGGCCCAAACCCAGATTAATTAAAATGAAATCTCTGGCGATGAGTAGGCCCAGCTAAAAACTCTCCACACAATTTTATTTTGCACCCAATGTTGAGAAACAATAATAGGATATTTGGTGGAAAAGGTAACCATGATAACCACTGAATGAACAGATCCCTAATTTTAACTTGTGTGTGATCTGCTTCCAATTAACCCTGCTGAGATATCATTAATGCAGGAGAGTAACTAAAGAAGAAATTTTCATTAGCTATGTGTTTGTTTGTTTGTTTGTTTATTTATTATTTTGGGCCAATACCATACTGTTTTGATTGTTTTAACTTTGTAGAATAATTTGGAGTCAGGAAGTATGTGTGCATGTATGATACCTCTGGTTTTGTTCTTTTCTTTTTTTAAAGCTTTTATTTATTTATTTTTAGAGAGTGGGGCAAGGAAGAACAGGGAGAGAAACACCAATGCATGGCTGCCCCTCATGCGTACCCTACTGGGGACCTGGCCTGCAACCCAGGCATGTGCCCAGACTGGCAATCTAACCCGTGACCCTTTGGTTCGCAGGCTGGCACTCAAGCCACTGAGCCACACCAGCCAGAGCTGTTCTTCCCCTGACCCCAGGATTGCTTTGGCTGTTTGGGGTTACACACAGACCAACGGAACAGAGTGGAGAGCCCAGAAATAAAAACGACACAAATATGGGCAACTTATTTTTGACAAAGGAGCCAAAAATACACAATGGAGAAGGAAGGCTTTTTAAATAAATCGTGTTGGGGAAATTGGAAAGTCAAAGCAATACAGAGAAGACTGCTGACACCGTAACACAAAAATTAACAAAAAAAAAAAAATTAAGTGCTTGAATATAAGACCCAAAACAATAAAATACTAAGAAGAAAACATAAGCACTAAACTTACGGACCTGTGACTCAAGATGTTTTGTGAACTTGACTCCAAAGGCAAGGGAAATAAAAGCAAAAATAAATGAATGGGACTACATGAAGCTAAAAGGCTATGCACAGCAAAAGAAACCAACAAAAAGGTAAACAACTGAATGGGAGAAGATATTTCCAAATGATACCTATGATAAGGGGTAAATATCCGAAATCTTTAAAGAACTCACACAATTCAATAACAAAAATAGTAAATAAACCAAACTCTGATTTAAAAAACGGGCAGAAGCCCTGGCTGGTGTGGCTCAGAGGACAGAGTGCCGACGTGCAAATCAGAGGGCTGCTGGTTTGATTCCCAGTTGGGGCACACGCCTGAGTTGCAGGCCAGATCCCTGGTTGGGGTGTGTGTGAGAGGCAGCCACACACTGAAGTATCTCTTCCTCTTCCTCCTTCCCTATCCCTCTCTCTAAAAAATAAGTAAATAAACCCTTAAAAAAAAAAAAAGACAAATGATAAATAATGGAGAGGATGTGGAGAAAAAGAAACCCTCATACATCGCTGGGGGGGAATGTAAATTGGTACAGCCACTATGGAAAACGGTACGGAGGTTCCTCAAAATATTAAGACCAGAGCTACCACAGGACCCAGCAATTCCTCTTCTGAAAACATTTATTTGTAAAGATATATGTACCCCTATATTTATTGCAGCATTATTCACAACAGCCAAGACATGGAGACAACTTAAGTGTCCTCTGAGGGATGACTGGATAAAGATGTGATGCTAATAGAGAGCCCTAAGAAAGGATGAAATACTGCCATTTGCTACAACATGGATAGATCTTGAGAGTAAAATGCTAAGAGAAATAAGTGAGACAGAGAAGGATGAGAACCATGATTTTACTCCTATGTGGCATATAAATCAGAAAGCAACAAACAAAAACAACAGACTCCTAGACACAGACAACAGTACGGTGCTCACCAGACGGGAAGTGGAGTGCGGCGAGGAGGGCGGTAAACAGGTCAATTACATGGTGACAGAAGGAGACCCAACTGTGTGATGAGCACACAATGCAATATACAGATGATGTATTACAGAACTGTACCCCCAAAGCTTATTAATTATTAACCATTACCTAAATAAACTTATTTTTATCATAAAGAAATATTAGTAGGTAAAGCCTTTCCATTAAATGAAGACTATGAATAAAATACGCAACCAAAATGACCATAACTAGACACAAAAGGTTGTACAATCATGAACCAACCTTTAAAACTTGCTCTTCAGTATTTAAATTTACTTGTCCCCAAGAAAGCTATTTAAAAATTTTGGTGAAATAAAACATTAAATATTTTTACATGAGTTGCTTCTTATTGGCTGGGTAGATGATCTGAGTCTCATAGTTCATTTAGGAATAGGGCGATTCCATTCAGAAAGAACGACCGATACGTCAAGACAGTGATGGGGAGATGAGGTCTCTCCCGACTCACACGAAAACCCGTTCAGCGTGGCCCGTGAATCATGCATGGGGAAAGCGGCCTGTCTGCCTTAAAGTGTCTCATGGACATTTATAAGACAAAACTATGAAGTCTCTAAATTTCACTTAGTTTTTTAAAAAATACTTATTTTTAGAGAAGGGAAGGAGGTAAGAGAGGAAAAGAAACATTGATGTGTAAGAGAAACATCAATCGGTTGCCTCTCCTACGTGCCTTACACACCCTCACCGAGCCATAGCAATCAGGGCTTAGTTTTTTTGAGCGTTCTACAGTAGTTCAAAGAAGAACTAGAGGAAACTACTGAATTTCAGTGCCTTTCACACAGAAAATAATGATTTTTTCAAATCAATGATTTTTAATATATGGTAAGAAATAAAGCTTTAAAAAATCTGCAAATCTTAAAATACACCCCCTCTTCTGTAAAATGAAGCATCATAGTCTACAGATTAATTATACTCCTTTAAAATATGAACAGAAAAATTAAATGGCAAGCCAGAACAAAGGCCGTTTAGTAAGTCAAGCATAAGAAATATTTGTTTATAATAAATCTAAATGTTAGAAATTCATTCTGCAACTAAAATGCAAAATGGAATACAAATGAAATTCAAAGAACCATTCTAGAATATTAGGTAGAATGCACAGACTTGTTTTTTTGAAAGCACAGGTTTTAGACCAGGGGCATTACACACTGCTTCCACTGGTTTTATAGAATGATGCCAAAGAGAGCTTACCAGACAGCAACGTCAGAAGGCAAGTGAAGCCCCCTTAGTCACTCGCAATATGCTACCTAAAACAATGTACACAGCTTCAATCCTCCACTTCGTAAAGAACTGGAGAAAATGGCCTGAAGGGGAGGAACTATTAATTAGAAATTTTAGTCAAAATCCAGTGACTTCACAACAAAACAGGGCAAAGCAAACAGAGCAGCCATAATTGGGAGAACTTCAGTGCAGCTGCATGATCTTTAAAGCCAAAATCAACATAAGGAAAAGGCATTATGACAATTAAAAAGTATGTAGAGAGACCTTATTTTCAGCATTCGATGAACATGGCTACAGGCTAATTGTATGTCTGGCCATGAAAGAGACATTGGGCAATACACAGATGTACTGCTGATAATTGTTAAGAAAGTTACGGATTTTGTACCCTCATGAGAGAAGCATGCTTTTAACCAAGTTAAACTAAGTATTTAACCGAATTCCTATTATACAGTAGGCAACATGAGGAATTTTAAAAAGTCATTTCCAGATCTTACAAAGTTTAGAGTTTAGGTGGGGAGATGAAGATGTATATACTGTATCTCTATTAATAAAGAAACTCTAACTGTACATTTCTATCAATCTTCATAGTTCAAATAAATTATACAGGAAACCTAGTAAAGGACTTCCAGATGTTATGTGATGGGGGTGGGGGGCTTCAACAAAACCACTTAATAATAATTAAATGAAGGACTGATATACCAGGGTTAAAATCTCTATATGGATTTCTTGATGCAGATGTAGTGATGAAATGGAAGTTAGAGCAAGATAAGGGAAAATCAAAGAGGACCTTGAGGGACCCTTCTCCGTCCTTCCTAACTCTTTTCATTGTAACACACAGCGCATATACGGAGAAGTGCATGAAACAATTGTGTGGAGCACAGTGAATCCTAACAGGGCTAATACCGTCCAGGTCAAGAAACAGAACCTGGCCAACTTCAGAAGTCTTTGTTGTGCCCCTCCCAGTCTCTACTTCCTCTTTCTTCCAAAGCAGCAGTCCTCAACCTTTTTGGCACCAGGGACTGGTTTCATGGAAGACAATTTTTCCGTGGACAGGGGAGGGAGTGGGGTGGGGGCAGATGGTTCTGGCATCATTCAAGCGCACCTCCTACTGTGTGGCCCTGTTCCTAACAGGCCCAGACCAGTACTGGTCTATACCCTGCTCCAAAGATTAGCTGCCTTTTATACTTTCTTCTTTGCTTTGTTTTTCTATGCTTTCTATTCAAGTATGCACCTTAAAATACTACTGCATATTTCTTCTATTTTTTTAAACTTACTATATACATGAAATTACGCAGTATTTGTTTTTTTCCTGTCTGGCTTCTTTCACTCAACAATGTGCCGTTATGCATAGCTGTAGTTCACTCATTTTCATGTCTTGATTCTTATTTATTTTAGGAGTAGGCAACTGCAACCTTTAAGAGACCTCTCCCTCTACTACTCACTTTCAATGAGGTCAAAATATTCTTGCCAAAATCCTAACACTAAATTCATACCTCCCTTTTCTTAGAATACCGCCCCCTGCATTCCTACAATGTGATCATCGAAGACTTCAATCTCTTTAGGACCTACACAATCTCTTGTATTTCTCTGTTCATCTTTCAGGCTATTATTTCTTTGATTTTTGATAAGTACATCCCATTCTTAATACCATCCCTTCAATCTGGAATGGTGTCTTGCTCCATAATCAAGTACTGACTTTCTCTGCCATTATGTTGATCCTGATTATATGGAAGTGCACTGCATTCTAGCCTAACCTGTGCTTATGTTTTTAGTATCCATGGCCCAGATTAGGTACTAAAAAATGTATTTGTTGAGGATAATTCAGCACAACATGGGAGGTAGATTTAAGAAAATGACCATTTAAACAACCATCTACTATTCTTTTTTAAAAAAGTATTAATTTATTTTGGGGGGGGGGAGACATCAATGTGTGAGAGATACATCAATCGGTTGCCTCTTGTGCGCCCCCAACTGGGGACCTGGCCCAAAACCCAGGCATGTGCCCTGACTGGGAATCAAACTAGCGACTCTTTGGTTCACAGGCCGGCACTCAATCCACACCAATTAGGGCTACTATGCTTTAAACACTGATTAAGAATGAGACATTTAAAAAGGATGTTCCAGGTAACTTCCTTCCATTGTATGGGCTGACTCAACCACTTATTTATTTGAGGATAAAAGTGTACTTATTTTTATTTCTCCTAGGCTTCTGTGATACAATACATAAAACCGATTTGTAATCTGGTTTAAGTACATCATTTGTGTACATGCTATATAATACAGGACTTTTAAAGGAGTTTCCAGAGTAAAAAGTGATTTGTGCTGATTGGTGTGGCTCAGTGGGTTGGGCTTCATCCTGCAAACCAAAAGGTAACTGGTTCAGATCCTGGTCAGGGCACATGCCTGGGTTGCGGGCAAGGTTCCCAGTTGGGGGTGTGCAAGAGGCAGCAGATCAACATGTTTTTCTCACACTTTTCTCACACATTGATGTTTCTCTCCCTCTCTTTCCCTCTCTCTAAAAATAAATAAAATCTTTAAAGAAAAGTATAAAGCAATGTGGCTTAAAATGTTGACAGACAGTAAAATGCAATGCAATAATTTAACCTGAAAATCAGATCTTGACACCGGGTATTACCTGGTTCCTGATAATCTACTGGTATAGTATGTTACCTCCTACAAGGGCCTGTGTCTTAAGTTTAATAAAAAACTCATATTTAACTGATTCTACCTACTGTCTTTCATGCCCACTTTACAACTGTCAGGGATAACATACTGAACTGGGTGAAAGCTGGGCAAGTATAATTTCATTGCTGGGATATAACAACAACTAGAGAAAATGAAGTAGATATTAAAGCCCCTCCATGACATTCTATCTATTCTATCTCACTCTGTATCAGATCCCTAGTATTTCCCCCCTATTCAGTGCTGATGCTGACTTTTAAAAGTCATACTCTTTCTCTCCTCTGTGCCTGTTACTACCTTCTTTGCACCTGGAATGACGAATTCTCCACCAATCCCAGTGCACTGTTTCAGGTCAAACTCATCTTCTTTAGGGAAAAAAGTCCCTTACTAACCTGACCCACTGTTGCTCACCCTGACTTGCCTTTCTCTCTACTCTTTGTACAAGGATGTCAAAATGACTTCATCTCTAGTGCTAACTCTGACCTACTGATAGTAGATGCTGTTCAGAAGGATTCTGAGGCTACGTTAAGTTTCACAAGTATCTCCTGTAGGAATAGGATGGGAAATGATATTTTTTATCTCTTAGTGTTTTATGAACACCTTGGAAGTATTTTGGCCACACTGTCCATGCAAACAGCTTGGGAACCAGCTCTTGTACTTTTGCACCTTTCAATATACTTAAAAGATTACCAAGTGCATGGTAAGTATCCAATATCAATCTCTTAATTCAAAGAAATTCTCCTTATTTCTAATTCAATTCTCTTTTTATAACAAGCATTACCAATTTTCTATAGCTATATTGAGGTACAATTTATAAAATTCACCCATGTTAAGTGGATAATTCAATAATTTTTTTTGTGGCAAATTTACCAAGTGTGAAACTATCACCCTAACCATCACCTCAAAAAGATTCTCTCAGGCCAGTTTACAGTTAGCTCTTCTTCCCGTCCCTAGGCCCGGGCAACCGCTAATCTCCTCTCTGTCTCTATGCATTGGCCTTTTTGGAAATTTCATATAAATGGATTCATACAATATGTATTCTTTCCTGTCTGGCTTCTTTTACTTAACACAATGTTTTAAGGTACATCCATGCTGCAGCATGTACTTCATTCTTTTTAATGCTGAACAGCATTCCATATATAGATGGACCATATTTTGTTTATTCATTCACTAGCTCATGGACCTCCGAGTTGCTTCTACTTCTCGGCTATTATGAATAATGCTGCTGAACGTTTGCCATATAGCACACTTCTGATTTTTTAAACATGTGTTCTTATAAAACCTAAATATCAGAAGAGATACAGTGCTTAGTTTTATAAATACTTCAAGTAGTTATCTTTGAGTCACTGAATGAGTTTATGATCAACACCTACAAAATGATCAGCCTCAATAAAGTATTTAAATGAGGTCATAAACAGGCAGATACTAATCTATTTTGCTTATCTTTAAGATTAAAGACCCTAAGTAGCAAGCTTTCAGGCATGAGTTAAGAGCAGTACACAGGGAATCAGTAGTTCAGATTAAAAACATTAAGAATTTAACAAATTATACCAGACAGATTAGATTTTGTTATACCATATAAATTTTGAACCCAGTGAATTACTGGGGTTATAGAAAGAATCAAATTAAAACAATTACATGTATGAAAGTTAATTGACATAAAGTGCCTTACTATTATTGCTGCTGTTGCCATTGAATGACCCAGAAGAATTGTTGTTATCTTTCTCTTTATCTTGATTTTCAAAGTCCATATTAAGGGACCTGTGGAAAAAAGTGTATAGTTAAGTTTTAGTTTGCTTAAGAAAGAAGTTAGAAAAGTCAGTAACAAAAGAGTATTTTAAAACACTAAGGTATCAGAAGAGAAAGGAAGATCTTTTTTTACAACTTTGCAAAATAGTTCTTGCCACATTTCAAAAACAATCTACATTCCTTCCAATATGTCAGAGTTCAAGAGTTTTAAAAGCATTCCACTGTGGCTGAATCTTCCAGTACATCCTTAATTACTTCCTTATGTTATAAATACCTGGAAGGGAAATGCTGGGTCAAAGGGCAAGCACAATTTTGAGACATTACATACCACACAACTACTTCCAGAATGATTCGACCAATTTACTCTGATAGCAGTGTATGAAAGTACTTGTTTCTCTATACCTTGTCAGTTTTCATTCAACAACAAACATCTGAATTTCTGCTATATCTAGACTGTTCCAAGCACTGGTGGGGCAATAAATAGTGAGCAAAACAGGCTTTACATTAAAAAAGAGGAGTGACAACAAACAAGAAAAGTAAGTTAAATATATGGTTTATTAATAGTGAGCTAAGGGAAAAGGGCAGGACATGAAGAGGTTAGGTTTGAAATTTTAAATAGGGTGGGCAGGGAAGGCCTCACTGGTTAGACTTCTGAGTTAAGACCTGAAGGAAGTCGTTATTGTCAATCTGGGGGACTAAAAATGCTATTTGTTTCCATTCAGAATTCTTTAACTCTGAACAATTTGATGTACATGAACTTGCCCACTTATTTATTTACTAACAGATCAGTTAATTGCATTCTTTGGAAGAAATTCAGAACACCAGTTTGTCAAGATAAAGCCCATGTGTGCAAGCAAATGGAGTGGCGGTAGCCTCCGGAGCTGAGGCACAGCTTTGATTTTTGGCAGAACTGGCGAGGCCACAGCCCTCTGATTCACTCTGCGCTGCTCTGTATCTCGGATTTCTCCGTCTCGGGGTCGAGGGTCTCCCCCTCCTGGAGTCCGGGCTTGCGCAGCTGCTGCTTCTCAAGTGAGCATCAGTGGGATGTTTGGGGGTTTTCATACCACTATTCCAACTCTGGCGGAGGCTGCAATGACAAATTTCTGGTGTGTTCTACATGGAGGAACTTGATTCAGGGGCAGAGGTCCAGTCCAAAGTAGCAAGCCACTGCTCAGCTCCTTCAGGAAAACCACCCTCTTGCGTCTGGGGTGCCCAGTGAGGACGATGAGAAGGGCCCCGGGAGTGATGCAGGCCCGCGGTTTCTCATATGCTGTCTGTAGGGCTTCTTGCCGCAGCTCAGCAGCTTTTAAGGCACAACTTTAGTGGAATAACATCTAGGCATTTTGCAAAGTTTAACCACTTGGGTAGCACCATTCTTGTCACCGTCAGTTGGTTTTGTTACAGTAGCAAGAATGATTTCCTTTTTCTTTTCAATCCTGGATTTAGCTGGTGAATACTTCCTCCTGCACGTGGCCTTTTGGAAGTACGTGGCCTTTCGGGAGTCCATAGCTGACCGGATACCTGCCAACTCCTCTGACTAGGACAGGGTTTTGGCTGCAGTGGCACTTCCCCTTCTTAGGCGTCTTGGCCTTGAGGTGATCCTTCTTGACCTTGCCCCCAGCATCGGCCTTCTCAGTTTCAGATTTTTTCTCCTTAGTAACCAGCTTCTCAGTTTTTTCACATGTCATCTTGCAAGATGAGAAAGAGCCCATTTATTTCTTTCTTTGTGGACTACCTGTTCAAGTCCTTAGTGCATTTCCTATGTTCCTTTAAAGGAAGGGTTTGTGGGAGTCTGCATGTCCAAAAGAACTTCCTACAATGATGGAAATGTTCTGTACCTACAGTGACCAATGTGGTAAACATTAGCCATGTCAACACTTAAAAAATGTGGGAATACACCTGAGGTACTGAGTTCTACATGTTATTCAATTTTAACTAATTTGAATTTAAATAATTTGAGAGCTAAAACTATAAAACTCTTACACGAAAACAGGGGTAAATCTTTGTGACCCTGGATTTGTTCAAGCCATTGTGTATCATTGCTGAATTTATGACCATTTGTATTGAGCGGGGTACTAAAATCTTAGCTACATTTATGGATTTATTTTTCTTTGAAGTTCTATCAGCTTTTGCTTCATGTATTTTGAAGATCTTTTAATAGATGCATAAACATTTGGGATTATTATATCTTGTTACTTAATTGAACCTGTTATCATTATGAAACAACCTTCTTTGTAAATAATATTCCTTGTTCTGAAAGTTGCTTTGTGTGTTATTAACATAGGCACCCCAGCTTGCTTTTGATGAGTATAAGCAAGGTTATTTTTTCCCAGTCTTTCATTTTAAGTCTTTTTTCCTGGCTTTATACCTAATGTAATTGGATCTTGCTTTTTTTAAAAAAATAATCCTCACCTGACGATATGTTTATTGCTTTTAGGTGGGGAGGGGAGAGAGAGGTTGAAAAACATCTATCTGTTGCCTCGTTTAAGTGCCCTGACTGGGAACCGAACCCACAACCTGTTGGTACACGGGACGACCCTCCAAACAGTCACCCAATCAGGGCTGAATTTTGCTTCTTAATTCAATCTGACAATTGCTACCTTTTAACTGGGAAATGTGCAAGCCAATTTCATGTAATGTAATTATTGCTATGATTAGGTTTGATACTATTGTGTTGCTATTTGTCGTGTATATTTTTGGGTTCCCTTTTTTCTGCCTTTTTAAGTATTGATAAAGAATTTTTTATGATTCTGTTTTATCTTCTTTGCTGTCTTGTTAGCTATAACTCTTAATTTCAGTGGTTGTTATAAGGTTATAGCATACATTTTTAACCTAGTCTACTTTCAAGTTATAGTGTACTACATCATGTATAGTTTATAAATTTTACAGTAGTTACATTTATTTTTCCCTTCTCAACCTTTGTACTATTACTGCCATGCATTTTACATGTTACACTATAAACTCCATGATTTTATTTTATAGTCAATTATTTTTTAAACTTTAAGAAAAAAATCTTTTGTTTATAATGTAATATCATTTCCTGATGTTCATTCCTTTGTGTAGCTCCAGACTTCCAACTGATACCATTTTAATCTGTCTGAAGTACGTACATCCTTTAAGATTTCATGTAGTACAAGTCTGTTGGTGATGAATTCTTCTAGGTTTTGTGTATCTGAAAACATCTTTCCCTTGTCTTCATTTTTGGAAGATATTTTTGCTATGGGATTCTATGTTGACAGTTTTTCTTCCTGTGCTTTACAGCTGTTGTTCCACTGTCTTCTCACTTGTACTGTTTTCAATAAGAAATCTGATGTCCATCCTTACCTTTGTTCCTGTGTATGGAACATAACTGGCCCCTACCTCTTCCTTCCCTTGCTGCTTTTTAGATTTTCAGTTTTATCACTAGTCTTGAGCAATTTGATTATGATGTGCCTTGGTATAGTTTTCTTCATGTTTCTTGTGCCTAGAGGTTATAGAGCTTCTTAGATCTGTGAGTTACCCTTTTTTTCAAGTGTGAGAAAATTCTGGCCATTCTTCAAGTATTTTTCTGTCCCTCCCTCTCTTCTCCTCTTTCAGGAACTCCAGTTACCCATACATTAGGCCACTGGAGGTTGCTGTCTGATGTCCAATAGCTCAAAAATACTCTTTTCATTAACAATTTTTTCTCTTTTCTATTTCACTTTAGTTTCTATTATATCTTCAACTTCATGAATCTTTTCTTCTGCAATGTCTAATTGATGATAATTCCATCCAGTGTATTTTTTTAATCTCAGATATTATTTTCATCTCCAGAAGTTTGATTTGGGTATTTTAAAATGTCTACCTACCTTTTTATACATATGTAATACAATTATACTATCTGTTTTGATGTACTTCTCTGCTAATTCTAACAACTGTGTCAACTCCAGGGTTACTCTGTCTCAGTATTTTTATTCACCTTGGCTGGGTAGCTCAGTTGGTTAGAGTGTTGTCCAGATATGCCAAGGTTGTGGGCTTGATGCCAAGTCAGGGCACATAGATGAATCAATGAATGAATGCATAAATAAGTGCAACAACAAAACAAAGTTTCTTCCTCTCCCTCTCCCTCTCCACTCCTGTCCCCTTCTTCTTTCTAAAATCAATCAAAAATAAGTTAAAAATTTTTTATATTGCTACTGGGTACTTGATAGATTGTTTAAATATTTTATTTATTTATTTTTAGAATTAGGGGAAGGGAGGGAGAGAAACTTCAATGTGTGGTTGCCTCTCATGCACCCCCTGCTGGGGATGTGGCCCTCAACCCAGGCACGTGCCCTGACTGGGAATCAAAGCAGCAATCCTTTGCTTCTCAGGCTCCACTCAGTCCATTGAACCACACTGGCCAAGGCGGTATTTTTATAATACAACAAATCTTCTTGAGCTTTATTCTGGGATGCTGTAAGTTATTTGGAAATAGTTAAATTTGTTCAGGTCTTGCTTTGTGTTTTAATAAGCAAGTCTGAAGCAGTGTTCAGTCTAGGGTAATTATTTTCTACGACTAAAGCAGGACCTTTCCGAATACTTTACCCAACGCCACATGAATTATAAACTTTTTCCATTCTGGTTGATGGGAACAGGCACTTTCCCCTTTAATACTTACCTTATTCTTTCCTCAGTCTTAAGTCATTTCCTCACATGCATGCACTGATCCACACTGTTAATGCTCCACGGGTCCATATGCATCTCTCTTTCATATTCTGACTAATTTTAGTTGCCTGTCTCTCTGGACCCTCAGCTCTGACTTAGGCAATCTTTCTCCCTATATACCACAACCCAAAGACAATCTTTAATATTTGAGTTTAAAAAAAATTTTTTTTATTTATTTTCAGAGAGAGAGGGGAGAAAGAGGAGAGAAACATCAATGTGTGGTTGCCTCTCGCACCTGTTATTGGGGACCTGGCCTGCAACCCAGGCATGTGCCCTGATTGGGAATCGAACCGGCAGCCTTTTGGTAGGCAGGCCGGTGTTCAATCCACTGAGCCACACCAGCCAGG